CCCAGATCGGTCGCGCTGGCCTGCGTGCGTTGTGAAGTTCTTACATGTTTGTAGCACGCATGTTAAACCCCAATGTCGCGTGGGCACTGCGTGCGTTGTGATATTTTACATGTTTGTAAGGCACGCAATGTGGTTATAACGTACCCCCGGTGCAGCGGCTGGCCAGTGGGTTGCAGGCCCAATGTATGTGCCGCCGGGCAGCGGCCCTCGCGGTGCTTTGTGAAGTTTTACATGTTGTGAGCGCGCCATGTTAACCCAAGATGTCGCGCGCTGCGTGCGTTTGTTGAAGTTTTACATGGTTTTTAGCTACGCATTGTTACCCCAGATGTCGCGTGGCGACGACGTGCGCGTTGTCTGAAGTTTGTACATGGAGTTGGTACGCACGCATGTTCACCCCAATGCTTTAACCGCCAATGCTAATGAGATCGGTGCTATATCGTCATTGTTTCCGTAAATCAGTATATACTAAGGTTGCCGTCTACGTGGCGGCTCTGGCTGTGGCTTAATCAGGAGTGTGATAATATAGACATCGTCTAACACATTGTCAATTATGCCTCACACTGCTGGTTCTAGCAGAGAAGTACTGCGACTTGCGCAGGCGTCAGCTCTAAACTGTGACACACCAATGTTTTATTTGGGCCCCAGCACGTGCCACGCCGCTCCGCTGCTGCCATGTTAACGGGTCTCGTATATTGGGTATTCCGGGTCACGCAGTTGCATTGCGTATATCGTGGTCGATGAGCGAAATAACAGAAAAAACTACGCACACACAAGCGTGCCAGAGCGCGAACGCGAACAGACGCTACATACATGGTACGAGGCGACACACTGGCACGGCACCAGTCACCGGAGGCACGCAGTGCACAATACAGTAGTCATAATACAAGCACAGGCGACACCGCTCCAGCACGGGGGGAGTGCCGGACGTATAGGCACGCATATACATAACATATTCACACGACGGCAGCGCGCGACACACAGCATCACACACACACCAATCACCATCACGCACAGCACGCACGCGACATAACATATTATATCATCACCACACCACCTCACTCACGCACGCACATTACATACATACATACATACATACACCACACACAGGAGCACACACACGACACAACCATGGGCACAACTCACCCACCGCACCATACATACATATACACACACACCCACAACTCACGCCCTCACGGCAGCGGCACGGCACATCATACATATACAACAACTGCACCCCTCACGGCACACACGGCGTTGCGTAAGGGGGTACCGTGCGCACATACATACATAACACGCACACACCACACACACCCCATCACACACACACACAACACTGACCCCCACTCACGCGCACACGGCATACATTAACATACATATACACACACACACTCCCACTACGCACGGGCACGCACACAGGGACGTCCACAGCACACACACATCACACACTCACGGCACTGTTTACACATTAATCTATATCAACATGTAACGATTGTGATTAGCAGCATAATACGCTAGTCATTATAACTAATAGTTTTATTACGTTCCTGTAAAATTTCACCGATTTTGTTTTGAAACATTCTACTTCAGAAAAAAGATCGAATACGGCATAATTAACCACTGTTGTTACGGATGGACTGGAGACTTATGTACAGCAGGTACAGATTTTATTTCTATCCAAATTAATGTATACTTGCATTACAAAACTAAATTCAAAGCAATCATGTAATTATACAAGAAACGTTGCAGCCCTAACATCATTCAATGCTAGGTGGCTGTGCTTGGGGAATTCAATGGTTGCTGCTAAAATAGAATTATAAAACTGATGACGCATATATACGCGCAAACGCATTTGCAGACGCGGGCGTGCGATAACATTTTTGGTTTCTGAGAATAACCATGCTATTTGCAATAATTAATATAAATATACTATAATATAAATATAAATATGCATATAAACATGCATATAAACCATATAACCATGCATGTTGTGTATTTCTCAGGCGTCTGCGACGAGCCCTGTCAAAATGGTGGGACGTGTGTAGGACCGGACTCTTGCATCTGCGCCGACGGTTACTCGGATCTAGTGTGCAGCACGTTCACGGGTAAGACCTCCCAGACATAAGTACGACATTGTGATAGCTCTCTGCGTTTGCGCTAGTCCAATCAAATAAAATTGATTAGTAAAATTAGCCGCATTGATAAAATAATGTTAATTAAATTAATAAAAGTATTCAAGGTTTCTCGTAACGTATGAATACAATCTTATATTCAGGTCAAGCATAATAGTGAATCAGCACAGCTTCGTTTTCTTATGCGGGAAATACGGGGTCTATGTAGTATCGCTTCGATGATGATAGTGAAGTGTGTACTTCTTGCTAACATATAAGCTTGTAACTGCAAGCAGCGCTACATGTACTAACCTACGACTTGCACGTCTCAAACCACGTGACAGCCGTAGCCGCTATTATATATTTTCTGGTTTCGTGACGTAATTAAAGACGTAATAAATGTTGATATTCTACGAAGGACGCTGCGATTTCATCCCGAGTAAGAATGGTAGCTATAGCAGGGTTTAATAAGAACAGTAGGATTTTTCATCACCATCCCCCACTCAAAATTCGTGACGCATGGCAATTAAGGCGACTTTTTTTTCTTGTCCGTGTCGCTATGCAGCACTACCGGTGACATACGCCACGTGTCTGTCGTGGGGCGTGGACCATTTCCGCACGTTTGACGGACGTTACTTCAACTATCACGGCGAATGCAGCTACGGCTACATAATGGCCGAGCATAAGCTAGACGATACGTTCAGCTTCATAACCGAAGTACCGATGTTTAAAGTCCGTGTTGTATTCTTAGACTGTCTGACGGTCGATAACTGTACGAAGGTGCGTTTAAATTAGTTTAGTTTAGATTGGTTTGGTTTAGTTACAATAGGTTTCATTTAGTTTAGTTTAATTTAGTTTAGTTGTTTAGTTTAGTTTAGGTTAAATTACTTTAGTTTTGTTTCGCGTAATTTAGCTTAGTTTAGTTTAGTTTAGCCTGATTTAGTTTAGTTTTAGTTTAGTTTATTCTGGTTTAATTCAGTTGAAAATAATTTAGTTTAATTTAGATCGGCTCATCGGCTCATCGGCTCATCGGTTCAAAATCAAACATGTTTGATTTGGAACGATCACCCGATAAAAATAAAATCGTCTACAAATGAACGCGCACACCTACATCGCTTCATCGCTTCATCGCTTCATCGCTTCATCGCTTCATCGCTTCATCGCTTCATCGCTTCATCGCTTCATCGCTTCATCGCTTCATCGTTTGTAAAAATCGGCTGGTGTGCGGCGGCCTTTACGACTAAATTAGAAATCCGCGATTTTTCACGAACTCGCTATAGGTACAAATCGATTCTCAAACCTGAAATCTTTTTGACGCTTTGCCACAAACTATCTAACAGTGGAAAACGTTCACTAGTTATGCCAACGCTTTTACGGCTATATAATTATTATATAATACGCGATGCTGTATTACTAAAGATGTGAGGATGAGATTACTTACCGAACGACGACCGCACGCGAACGTGTCCACTCATCGTTCGCACCGCCATCCTCAGACCAAAGCGATACGCACGACTTTTTTCGTTTACCAGTTTTTACGACAATATTTTTCCGGCTACACGCTCGGTGCGCAACAAAAATGAAAAGTCATCGTCGTTGCACACAAGCACTGATCTTCTCGCGCGCACGGCGAGTGCTTTTAGATGTTTTCCCGTCGCCCCTATTAGTGCGCGCAGCACGCCCGACGCGAGCATGCACCCTCGTGTGTTCAAGGACCCGCGAGCTCCCACGCACGCACAGTGACGGGATTAAAGAAATACCGGAACGAACAGCCACGGGTCGTCAACCTGTGCGTGGCCCCGCGTCCAATACGCGCACGCTTGTTCGCCGCCAACAGACGAGCGCAGTGATGGGACTAACTGCTGGTAATGGGACAGGTGGGTAAGATTCTGGTATGATGATGGGCGCGCGGGGGAACGAGGTGTTAGCGCGTACAATAGCGTGCATTGAGTCAACAAACGCAGTGACGGTAAACGGCGAGAGTGGAACGCTCTTCCGTAAACTTGCAGTCACAGGGAGGTGGTGTGTTGTTGCGAGCAGGGGAATGGGGGGGGGGATAGCACAGCGGAGATAGTCACGCGGTTGTCGGCGCGTATAGAGAGATTCTGTTAGGGGCAGTAGAGTCACAGTCAGTGTTTCGGAGCGCCCAAGCATTCACATCACTACATGGGGCACACACACTCTAGGGTTACTAACTCTCTCTACGGTGGGAGCATTGCCACCTCTGTGCTACTCCACTCTATTCTAATATATTGATCTCTTGTATCATATTATTATACCTTTTAATATATATATATATTATATATATATATATATTAGATATATATATATATATATATATAACACGCATGAATGTTGCAATGTATGACCCCCGCCTGTCGCAATGTCACACGCACGCATACCACACACACACACACACACACACAAACACACACAGACACACACACACACACACACACACACACACACACACAAACACACACAGACACACACACACACACACACACACACACACACACACA